TGTTCCGAAGCATAGCCAACTCTGCCAACTGGTTTCACGCCCGAAAATGTCCCAAGAGAAAAAGGAACCCCGCTTGCTTCTTTTGATCTCGAGGGTTTTGTCTCCCTTACCCCTACTCTCTCTCTGTGTGCAGGTGAAATTCGCCAGTGAGAAAACTGGAATTTTTCACAAAATAGATTGTGATTGCTACATAATTTGATATGAATATTTGAGGAACTTTTCCCATCAAAAATCCATACTTTAAACACTCTCCCCCCAAACATACACACACAAATTGTTTTTATGAGAACCAATTAATAAATGCTAATTCATCCAGGCATATCTCCACTAAATTACTCTTTCATTTAATTGCAGGGGAATTTTCCATTACTAAACTCTCCCTTGCTGATTTTTTTTGCATTATTTATATATTATTTCAGTTTCACTAATAGTGAGGTTGGTATGTGATATTATCTGCTGTTTGTAAGTTTTAAATTTCTTTTCATTTAACATGTTTCCTCATTCTTGTAGCTCCACGTAATCTGGGAGAAACATCATTAAAAGCAGACAAGATTTTAAACATAAATGATGGAAACAGGCACTGGCTGAAATGAACCTGACAGGACAGTATCTTGTCTGATGAAACTGCTCTGATTTCAGGCATGCGTGGGTGTGCGGGAGCGTGCGTCTCCACTTTGGATTAACGTGGAAATGTTTTCCTATGTCAGTGAGTCACAAGTCAATCCACGGAAAAGATTGTGGGTACAGAACTAGGAATGAAGATCTCAGGGGCTTTAATAATAAAAATAAACAACACCTAAATCTCTTTATAAGCCACCAGAGCACAATGTCTCTTTTCTTGCTTCCTTTTCATGGACACTAAATCCAAACTTTGATATCTAGACACCCCAAAGTCAGACCACCCAGTCCCCAAAGATCCTGCCTTTTTATGCATGAAAAAGTAGGGGTTTTGGTGATGGTGAGGGGTTAGGGACTGTGGTTGAGATCATATTCAAAAGGACATATTTTAAAGTAGAATTTTGATTTCCTTATATTGAATGGCAAAGTTTCCAAGTACCTGGCTACCTTCATTTCTGAAATGAGTTCTTTCTTTTTCCTCTCCAATTACCTTCTTCCCCTCCAGTCTCTCCTCCCTCATTGTCTCCTTTCAGTCTTTCTTTTTCTCTTTAGTCTCTCCCTTCTTTTTCTTTCACACGAACACATTCTAGGGGATGTGAATGATTAAACTGTTTACTCCGAGGTTTGAGGTTGAGGTATGAAAAGTCATGTCACCGTAAGTAAAGTTTCACCTTTATACCCAACTCTATCAATAATTACAGAGCAAGGATGACGGTTAGTAAATCTTTCTTACAATTTGCTCTTACAAAAATGATACCATTTATTCTGAGTGTACTGAGCTCCCTTGATCTTACTTTTCACAAAAATTAATTACAAAGCTGAGTAACCTCCAAAATGAAGTCAGTATATAAAGGGATGTATATTCCTGGCGAAAGGCATACACATAAAACACGTGCCATATTAAAATTCAAGATTCGAGGCCATAAATAGAAAGTTTTGACATGTAGTTATAATGGTAGGTGCTCTCCTCTGAACCAAAATATCTCTTAATAATTAAATTTCCGAGATTGATTTTTGTGTTTTTTTCCCCCTCCACTTCCTTTGTCCTCTTCAGTAAAATTAGGTACAGTCCTTTTGGGTATAGACTGATAAAATTAATTAACTTTCCTTCCACCCTGAAAATGTCCCAAATAAATGCTTCCAATAGACATCAAAAAAGTGTCAATTAGAAATAATTACTTCTTATCAATCGGTGGGGCAATTAAAATGACAAAGCTTGAAAAGATACTTATCTTAAAACTAATTCACAAGGTAGCTAAATTATCTCCTAATTAACTTGCATGGAGGAGGGTTGGAGGATGGACCGTCTCCAAACAAAGATGAATTGAGGAACCCCAATACCTCTTTATGTTCCTCAAGACCTTTTCTCATCCCTAGACCTTATTTTCAACCCAGGCAAGAAACCTGGGAAGAAAACAGTTTCTTGGCTTACTTTGCTCCTTTTTAAAACCAAGTGGAGGGTATGGGGGACTTTCCATCTGTGATCTAAGGAAGTTAGAGAAACGCTCTTTCCATAATGGAAAGTCTCATATTACTTCTTGAATAATATATTTTCAGGAGTTGGGGGAAGAGGATTTCTGGAAAGTTACTATGCATAACTTTTAATAACAACCTGCTTGCTTTTTTTTTTTTTTTTTTACTGAGCCCTCTTCTTCACGGATGTAGTACTGTTTACATTCTAATACTTATGTGGCATCTTTTATTCTTTAAAGAAAAGTTCTTGCTCAGGATCTCTGTTCCTTGATGCTACAAAATTCCCGGTGGATTTTACGGACCGTTCATCCCATCACTGACCATCGGCAAATCAGACTCAATCACTCTTCGCTCTCTACATCCCTTCAGAATAAAACGTAGGGAGGAAAAAAAAAATTTTTTTTTAAAGATCCCTCTGCGAAGCAAGATCAACCGGGGGTGAGCCGCAGTGGCGGGGGCGTCAGAGGCCGCGCAAAACTTTTCTCAGCGCGTTTCGTTTTATCTGAAACGGTGCGCTGGGCCTCGCTACCGCGAAAAGGTCCCGCCGCCCGCCTTCGCCCCATTTTGCTCCAGGGAAAACCTTCAAGAAGGCTTCTCCAGGCAAAGTCCATGCAGAGTCGTGATCTCAGAAAGCGAAACGGCGGGGGAGAAAGAAGGAAATCTCTAAGACCAAAGAGGGAAATGGGCTTATAAAAAACTGGAGGGCTCAGCTTGTGAATTTAGCTCTAAATACAGACAATGGTGTCAAGTGATTAGAAAGACGGAGGGTCTCTCACTCAGATTTACCTAGAGAGGATTTGAAAAAGAAACAGGGGACAGCCTTGAATCTTTTGAGCTATGCTTTAAGCAAATTTCTTCTGTTTCATTAAATTAAACTATAGGAGAAAGCCTTTCTCCCTCTCTTGGATTTATTTTTTAATTTGTTTTGGGGAGACGATTGAAGAAGTCCCCTCTAGACAGAGAATACTTCCGTCCCAGGCCCCGCCTGCGATAGGGGCGAAACCGCTCCCTCCGCAAACCCAAGGGCGATTGACTCCGAGCTAATGGAAAAGCAGGGTCTCCTCATCTGGGTTTGGGGCTGATTAAAAATAAAGTAAAAGTAAATTGTGCCCTTTCTTCTTTCCCTCTTGATTTCCATGTATTCTAACGAGCGCTTCCGTAATGACAATCACTAGTGAAAACAAAATCCAGCCAACCCGAGGGACCATGACACCGTCTTATTTCTCACGCAGAGACAGGGAGGAAAAGGTCTGGTCCAGGACTGTAAATTCGAGGACCCAGAGAGCGCACCCACTCTTATCACCACCAGAGCGGTCAGGGGAAGGTCGGCGGTGGCTTAAGGGTTGGGTAGAAAGAAACAGGGAGCCGAGCAGAAGCTGCGGAACCAGCCTGGCGTTGCATCCGGCACCTGACGCCGCGCCGCGCGCTCTGCCTGGGAGACCACTCCAGATTCCGAGGCGAGGGCGACGTGTGTCGTTACACCCGCATTAGGCTAAAGACTAAGAGACTAAAACCTGGTCCTGGTCCCAGAAAGTGGTCAAGGAGCTTTTATGACGCCTGGGCGCGGAGTAAGGAGTGCCAGGCGCTCCGCTGGGTCTCCTGGCTCGCCGACCCCGCTGCTCCCGGGAGCATTGGTGAGATTTCCGCTCCGCTCCCCCGAAGGCCGGGCGCCCGCAGAGCCGGGCCAGGACCGCGGTGGCCGCGCTCACCTCCTAGCACAGGGATGCGGAGGGAGCGTGCTGCTGACTCAGTCTCCGGTGGTGGAGCGAACCCGAACGAGAAACCTTCGGGCGTCCACGGGGGTCCCCGCGCCTGTGCCTGTGGATCCTCCGCCTTCAGTCCCGGAGCAGCGCAGCGCTCTGGGCTAAATTGAGATCTCAGCCGCGCGCAGCGCCCGATGCGACCCTCCTTATTATAACAAATGTCCCGCTTGCCGAGCGGGACTTCATATTCGCCAAGAATTCATCTGAAATATTGATTTCCTCTCACTCCACCGGCCCAAATCGATAGCGTTGCGCCCTGGCCCCATAAATCGCCTTCCCCGGGTCTGGCCCGGCTCCATCCATCACCGCGGGCCGGGCCGCGACTCCTGCTTGCTGTCCACACTTGCAGAGCGCCCGGCGGGCCATGCCCACCGTGCCCACCGGCCCCAGCCCTGCTGCTCCTTCCTGGCACAGACCACCCTGACCTGAGCCCGGAGGTCGCGGAGAGTCGGCGCCGCGGCCAGTGACTCCCAGAGCTTTAGAAGGCCGTGAACCCGGATGCCGGTGGGGAGCGGGATTCGGCCAGCGGAGGGCTCAGTCCTCGCCCGGCCGGATGCCCCGCACGCGGGTCCCCTTCTGACCGGTGTTGAGCAAAGAGGAGTCCGATAGCCCTCCAGTGCGCTCACTGGATCCCAGGTGCTCACGGGTCCCAGGACCCGGACCGCGGGCTCCTCTCGTGTGGGCTGGAGAGGTGCGCGGGTCTCAGGGTCCCGCCACCGGAGCCTCAGGCGAGAGCTGCGCGCACCCGGGGACGAGGGCGTAGAGGTCGGGAGCAGGGGACTGCCAAGTCTAGCAGGGGTGCGGCGTAGGGCCTGAGAGCGCGCAGGATGGCCACTATGACGGGCCAGGCGAGAGGCTGATGGGACGCGAAGGACACTCCTCTGACCCCACGGAGAGCTCCTCGCCCCTCCCGGTGGTCCGCAGAAACCCAGGCCTGGGGAGGTCGGCTCCGCCGGGTCGAGGGGGGAACCTCAGGGCCCAAGGGAGTGGCGAGGCGGCCGCTGCGGAGAGCCAGGCCCGAGGCGTCCCCAGCTGCGCCCCCACGCAAGGGGTCCAGTGAGCCGCGATCCCCACCGACCCGAGCGCACGCACGGACGCACAGCGACGCGGGGGCTCCGGGGGTCCCTGGCCACGCCGCGTTCTTACCGGATCTAATGGAGTTGTGAGGCATCCCGGAGAGTCGCTCGCAGCCCGCCGAGGGCTCAGGGCTTCCTCACGCAGGTCCGCGCCGCGCCCGCCGCCACGCCGCTGCCCTGCACAGACCCGGGGCACGGGTATGAGACTCCGGCCCGCCGCCTTAGACCTCCTCCCCAGGCCCTACCCCGAGGCTTTCATCGCCAGGCAGGGGTCGCAGGATTTTCAGGCGAAGAGTGGCCAGCCTCAGGCCGGCCTAACCCATGCGCCCGTCCGGAAGAGCCGGCGTTCGGGTCCGCTGGGCAGCGCCAAACTCTTAACCCGCTGCCCTCTGCTCGGCTGCCCCAGCCTCATCTAGTTTAACTTGAGAGAGAAAAGGCTGCCGGGCTTCCTGGGACCCTCTCCCTTCTCCAATCACCCCTCTCTCCCACTCAGCTTTCAGCCAACCCCTGGGCGGCATACCTGGCCGGCCGGCCACAGGCCCTCACTGCCCGGGTCCGCCCTCGAGGGTGCCCTGGACCCCGTGTCTCTCCTCCTTCCGAAGTTTGTTCCC